AAAATATTCGAGGAGTAATATTTTTTATTCAAACGGAAATATTGTCAGTGTCAGCAGTTGCCTATCATGCAATATCCAAGTATCAAAATTAGTTCATATGAGTGCCTATAAAACCATGCTTTAAATATTTCAGATTTTTTATAAAGAGTTGCATGGGACTTTGAACTGAATTACCTTCCTCCATGTTGATCGAATACGAAAACTATGTGAGAAGAATAGTGATCGACTTTCTGGAGTATTGGACGGAGTGAAATAAAGTGTATATCTTAATTACGAGAACATTATTTGAAGTTTTGTTACCACATAAATTATTCACATATAATGGTACATTTTACGAGTAATATTACAACTATAATTTTGATTAATTCACTGGAAATGATGGCAAGGTATGTTTTAAGAATCTTGCTGTTTTTAGTAAACGTGGAAGGGTAATAAAATTAATAATAATCTAATCAATAATAAATAATTATTCAATTGATTGACATATCAGATTTTTTAGATTTTAAGGCAGAACTTGGCAAACAAACACCATACATATCATGGCAGGACAATCACTTGGTATTAACTTAGTTTCTTGGCTCCTGCTTTTAGATGTTTTTTTTAAATACTACATTTACTAATAAGATAATTCTGAAAGTGATTGCTAGTATCATAACTCATTAAAGTTATTTCAACATCCAGAAAATTTGAAAAAGCAAAGGCTACGTTTTGGTCAAACCCTGGTCAGGCATTATCCAGTCCTGGAACAGAATAACTTACAAAAATCTCAGGTGACTTTTCATGTAACGGAATAAAGATTGAAACATATATTTAACCCATATTTGATGCAATTCTTCTGATAAATCATAAGTTTTTTAGGAGGTTACTAATATTTGAAGACTGAGCCAAAGCTAGTGTTTATTAAGATGGTGGATTTGAACAAATTGTTCAAGGTTTGTTGATGGTTATTTGCAAAATGAGCTTCATATTAAATTGCACACTGGTTTGTAGGAGGTGTGAACGCTTCTGGGCATTTTCATGTCTGTTTTCCTAAACCTTTGTTATGACTTTTACCAAATTTTGAATCAACTTTCGACTACATTTGTATTTTGTGTAACATTCTATTTCAATGCTAGTTAATTGATCGGATAACTGTTGATCTCTGTTCCAAAATTTTGCATCACATGTTTCCTATTTCTGGAAGATGGGTCAGCTAGTGTACAGGTGCAGACAGTATCTTGGATCTTCTTTGTGTTCTGGTGCTGTGACATACCTGTACATAAACGCTGAGAGTTCATGAAGTCAAGTATTGTGGAAGTTTGTATGTAAATTAGGATTCCACAACAAAGTACATATAGAAAAATTAAATGGAAATGATGATTAAAAAAAAAATGATTTCCTTATATTCAGTGTTTAATGACATTTAGCATTATTTGCTAAATGGGTTTATAGGCAGCATTTACGATTCAATTGCGCAGTTCTGACACTTCCCTGGCGAGTGTAATACACTCGTGTATGTAACTACAATTCTAATTATGTCATTTCTAATCAACTTCGTTTGGCACTGCAGCTAACATGGTATGCAGTGTATTTCATTAAGCATCTGTCTCAACTTCGGGTAAGAAGGCAGCATATTTCACTAATTTGGTTGTGGGCAGCATTTACAATTACTTATACACTTAGCCTACAGTAAGTGTAGCAACGCACGTGGCAGTGTATTATTTCCGCATTCCAGAATAGCAGCTACGTCACTTCCGGAGTGATGTCACATCCGCAGTCATACGTCACGTCCGTTTCCTTTCTATTCTGCATGCTCTCCTGGCAGGTTATCCATTTTGCTTCATCGCAAATAATTTCTTGGTTCTCGCGTAATTTTCGGTATCTTGAAAAAAATGCTGAATTAACTTAACATTTAATTTGCGTCTGCTTTCGCTTTCCGTCATTTCTTTCTGTATTCACTTAAATTACTGGGAGTATCGAGTTTCAAAAATAACATATTCATGATCACTGATAGCAGTTTGGCATTGAGTCGCTGGTGACAATTCTGAAACGTTGCCGATGAATCTAGAATCGGTTGGGATGTTTTCGAGAACACACTTACACGAGCGCCGTAGAGCGCTATCCGCCATGTTGGATGGTGTTTGCAAGGACACGTTTCACGTAGGCCGGTATTGAGACGCCTATTACATCACGTGTGTTTCATATTCAGCTTCGAAAAATGCATCACTGAATTCCCTATGCAATTGAGTATCAAATTGCAACCGGTCTTTGTCACCAATACCAACTGTCTAGAAAAAATGAAACGAAACATTTTGGGCGTGAAAACGAGCGCAGTGCTCGAAAGACTGAGCGTTTGAAATGTAAACAAAGATAATTTCCGATTCACACCGCGTAGCATTTTCTGAATTCTTCCAACATTCATCTATTCATTGCTTGCAATGGCTCAATGCCTTTGGAATAGGTATGGAAAGAGTATTGTAGAAAGAAATGGGAAATTAGGAATAGATACAATGCAATGATTCGTTAATTCATAAGAAATTGTCAAAGTTGGTGCAGCGTGAAGCTATGACTTGCGCATAATCACCCAGAACGACAACTGTAATTATCAGCATTTTTGGCGTCTTCTCTTACTTACAGTGAAAATGATAAAAACATATAACAACATACAGATAGTCAGAGTCATTCTGATTACTTACATGTCATATTTATATACAAACAATCCCTGAATCAGTGGAAGGGTCCTCGCAGAATCCTCGGTATCCTTGTCAGCAAGGCCACCGTATTGTAAGAGATAGGTCATCTGTAGTGATGTCATATGTCCACATTGTTGTACATATTGGGAAATTTCTTCGAGGTGAAGGTCGGTTGAACAAGAGTAAACACAATCACCTTAACCGACTTCCGATTACACTGTCAGCATAGTATATTTTGCGGAAAGCTCAGATATTTTTTTCATGAAACTGACTTCAGTATCTACATTTGGCCTTGCTCGGTGTCATGCGTGCATGTAGGGTTTACTGTTTTATTCCTTGAAAGTTTTGATTGTTTGGGTGATGTTTACATAGGAGGTTGGCACATTTAGTGCAGTACACCATATTCTAAATCTTTACACAAGTGTTCGAAGATGAAACGTAGCCATAGCTGCAATTACTTTAGTCCCTATGATGTACAATGTGTAATATTGGACTAATATTGCAGTTTCATATGGACAGGTTAATGAACGGCGATTTAATTCAACCTTATAAGTAAACTGATACTAATTAATGAAAATGACTTACATATGTTATGAAATGTATATGGACATATATTTAAAGGAATTTTCTTGTTCATTGCATATTTTTGTGTCGTTTTATATACAAAACAATGACATATGTTGATTGGCCAGGTGCACGTTTGTCGGTAACATTTTATGATTCACTATCATTGTTTTTGATAATATATTCAGTTCATATTGGCATGACAGGATATCACTCTCTAACGACTTTTATAGGAAGATTGTTTGGAGATATATAAACCAAGTCATGTGTTGATTTGGACAAATCTTACATCCATATTCTAATATATAGTTCCATATATAAAGGCTATCTTTTTGCATCTTTCATTGCATACTTATTAAGAGAAATAGCTACATAATCATAAAGAAAGAAAATTCTTATCCTAACAAACTATTGGGGCGTTGCGAAATATTAATTTTTCATTTACGTTAAATTAATGCCAAACAGGTGTGCGTGTTGCTCATAATAAGATACACAGTCAAACTGTCTAATTGTTGATATAGTCAGGACACTATTTAAAGGGAAAAATCAGTCATTTTATGTTTTATCTAAAGAGTGTTTAATTATGACATAGAAGCCGAGACCTTTTATACAATTAATGGAAATTGGGTGAGATGTATGCTGATCAGCGTGCCAAGGTCGTCTTTTTCCGACATCGCAGGGTGCGTGAAGCAAGCAATTATGTCAACTAAAATGTGGTATTATTTTCAGCAATTTCATTACATTTGAAGATATGGCTAGTACTCTGGTAATAACGTTGAAAAATTAGTCAAAATACATCTATACACACAGGAGAATATGGGAATCTAAGAACTAACTTATATACTCGGATAGGGCCATCCGGGCCGCTGTTACGTACTTTCGCATGTGGTGCGTTGTCATCTTTTCTGGTAAATTGTGAAACTGCTAAAGCGTATCCGATCACATTGGGGAAATTGTAATTGGAATAGTTTGGTTCGCCATGGGCAAAGGATAAAGAAAACATAGCGGCCGTATCCACAGCAGGTTCTCTACATGTGATCTGAGTTACATTGACCTAGTGTGAAGCATAACAGAGTTATGCCCCCTTATCATTATACATGTATGACCTCTCTGTCGTCGTTTGACGTCATAGAAGAGAATCCAGTTTTGCCATTTATTGCGAGTTGTTTTTGGTTGGGCGTGTTGCGTTGTGCGTAAGCACATATAAACCCAGTTGGTATGCACTTGTATATTGGGCTGTACTTTCTTAGCTCACACTTTCAGTAAAGATGCCAAATAAAAAATTCGTAGCACAGTATTTTTATCGGGGCGCGATAAAAAGCGGAATAATTTGCTGTTTTTAATGCATAACAAAATGGTGGACAACATTTGGCGAGGTCTGTTCCTCAACCAAAACGCTGAGGTGGTTGCACTTATATTTATACCAACGGATAGGAAATTTAATATTCTATATTTCTGTGTAATTTTTTAAAAAAAAAAATAAACAACAAACAAAAAACCACAACGCAGGCGAGAGGTCCCGGGTACAGATCCTGGATGAGCCCTCATATCTGGCAGTAAGCCATTGCAGGTATGGCCAGGATAGCAAGGCAGCCAGACACGCGTCAGCCCATTACAGTTGATCTGCTAACGCGCGTTGTGCAACTCCTTTCCACGGTATGCAGGTCTTCATATGAAACTTCTCTGTTTTCAGCAGCGCACCTACTAACATTCTTTCTTCAGGGTAAGCGAGGTCGTGGCCCGTTCAATCAGCAACTAACATTCTTTGTTTTTTGTTGTTTTGTTTTGTTTTTTTTTCAGGGTAAGGGAGGTAGTCGCCCGTTCAATAAGCGACTCGTCACAGCGGGCTGTTTTGCTGAAGGACATGTCTTTTGCTAGCGACCAATCCTACGTGGAGGTGGTCCTACAGGCCTCCAAAACTAGACCAGCAGGGCCGCGGCACACGCATTGCCATTACGGCAGTCCCTCAGTCCATACTATGCCCTGTCAAAGCGATTTTTGGCTGTGCGACCATGTACAGACGGGTATCTCTTTACTCATACTAACTCGGCTCCTCTAACAAGATTTCAGTTTCAGGCAGTGCTCAGGAAGACGCTGACGGCAGCAAAACAACCCATCAATAGTAACTTTTATTCTTCTCATTCATTTCGGTTAGGGGCAGCAAACTCAGCAGTGTTACAAGGAATTCCGGCAGTTCAGATTCAGGAATTTGGTCACTGGAGATCTAATGCCTACAGGGCGTATATTCGTATGCCTTTGTTAGGCACACAAATCTAATGTGAAATTATGGCTTACAGGGCCGTCGTGGGTGATTGGCTCCAGTTATAACACCTCGGGCTGCAGTGACGTAGCCTCGGCCTTGCCCAGTACCTCGTCGGGGTGCACTTATCCAAGCTGGGCATGGCGGCCCAACATCGGGCCATTCTGGCAGCACTGCATAGCAATTAAGTATTAGTGAAACCTCTTTTGCGCCCTCTCCCCTACTCCCCCCTTTAACTATTTAACTCGTTGTGGATGGCAGCCCCGCCCGCTGCCCAGCAGTGGGCAGCATGCGGGCCTGTTGGCATGGTGCCGACGGGACTTAACACCAAATCAGCTTAAAATATGGATACTTGGTTCCTACTTTTACAGTGGCAGCCCAAACCTTCCTGCCTGCTGGCTCCGCGGGAGGGAGTACAAAAGTTTCCAATGCGCTAGCAGCCTGCTTTTCCTGCCTGCTGTCTCCGCGGGAGGAAGTACAAAGCTTACAATGCCTTACCAGCTTGCTTTTCCTGCCTGCTGTCTCCGCGGGAGGAAGTACAAAGTTTGCAATGCCTTACCTGCCTGCTGTCTCCGCGGGAGGAAGTACAAACTTGCCTATGCTTTGCCCGTCTGCTTTTCCACGGCGGAGGGCCGCAAAAAAGCTGAACTATGTGTCCCGTCCCGTCGGCGCCATCCACACCGCGCTCATTGTCATCCACACATCTGCGTTGTGTAGTCTTTCATCTGGTATGCGTACCATGCTAAGGCTAGCCTCATCAGCTTCATCTTATCTCTATTACAAGCTAAAGGTCTGCATATAATGACATTTAGCATTATTTGCTAAATGGGTTTATAGGCAGCATTTACGATTCAATTGCGCAGTTCTGACACTTCCCTGGCGAGTGTAATACACTCGTGTATATAACGTAACTACAATTCTAATTATGTCATTTCTAATCAACTTCGTTTGGCACTGCAGCTAACATGGTATGCAGTGTATTTCATTAAGCATCTGTCTCAACTTCGGGTAAGAAGGCAGCATATTTCACTAATTTGGTTGTGGGCAGCATTTACAATTACTTATACACTTAGCCTACAGTAAGTGTAGCAACGCACGTGGCAGTGTATTATTTCCGCATTCCAGAATAGCAGCTACGTCACTTCCGGAGTGATGTCACATCCGCAGTCATACGTCACGTCCGTTTCCTTTCTATTCTGCATGCTCTCCTGGCAGGTTATCCATTTTGCTTCATCGCAAATAATTTCCCACCCACCCTTCCCTTCTACAGCTCAGTATCCTGGTGGGGGTGCTGAGGTTGTTAAATGTACGACTTATATTAAGTCTTCACTGTACAGTGCACAGTAAGTATAACCTGTACCATAACCTTTGTATTTTGCACCTTTCTTAATAAAAAGGCGCGGTGGGCATGGTGCCGACGGGACTTAACACCAAATCAGCTTAAAATATGGATACTTGGTTCCTACTTTTACAGTGGCAGCCCAAACCTTCCTGCCTGCTGGCTCCGCGGGAGGGAGTACAAAAGTTTCCAATGCGCTAGCAGCCTGCTTTTCCTGCCTGCTGTCTCCGCGGGAGGAAGTACAAAGCTTACAATGCCTTACCAGCTTGCTTTTCCTGCCTGCTGTCTCCGCGGGAGGAAGTACAAAGTTTGCAATGCCTTACCTGCCTGCTGTCTCCGCGGGAGGAAGTACAAACTTGCCTATGCTTTGCCCGTCTGCTTTTCCACGGCGGAGGGCCGCAAAAAGCTGAACTATGTGTCCCGTCCCGTCGGCGCCATCCACACCGCGCTCATTGTCATCCACACATCTGCGTTGTGTAGTCTTTCATCTGGTATGCGTACCATGCTAAGGCTAGCCTCATCAGCTTCATCTTATCTCTATTACAAGCTAAAGGTCTGCATATAATTACCAGCTAACATGACACTACTGGGCCCGTACTGGTATTATAAAGACCACGATATAGGCTTGATAACGGATCTCAGTACCGGACCAGTAACGTTTTGCACATTGGCGTGGAAATGGCCCAGTACAAATAGCAACACACTGGCAGTGTACTGGTCTTGTACTGGCCCCGTATGTGATTTTGTGTACTGGTACCATAGCACTTTTACATTCTGGACCCTTTTGTATGAAACCACACTAGACCTGTGTCAGCCTTGACCAAGGAGACTAAATCTACATTGCTCCAGTCCATGGCCACCCAGCTGTTAAGTGGGCACTGTGAAGGAGGCGACGCGCCTCCCCCAGAGGATGCACTCAAAATTTCATGTATCATGATGTAAATAGACAGTGCAAATGTACACGAACTATGTCCATTGTTCCCCCAAAGGAATCTCGGTTACATGTAAAATTTTATAACAGCAAACTGTTAACTGGCACGAGTTCAACAACTGATACAGTGCTAGGATTCATCTATAAAACATGTCACTAATGTGACTAATTGGAAGCAAAACCCCTCTGTATTCAATTTGCTAAGCATGCTAAAAGGAAAACAAAAGGGATAAAGTAAAACATCTTTTATATGATCTCATATACAGCATATTGCAGTTACTCAGACATGTTATCGCGAGTGGTGACCGCAGCCTCCTTAGCCAGTAGCCTTTTCTTTCGGCCCCCGTCCCTGTCCCCCGAATTTCTCAGCCAAAGCATCATCTCACTGTGAGCCTCCTTTTCTGTTGCTGTTGTAAGCAGGGGATTTTTGAGAACAGCTCCTAAAACATAGTTGAATATGATATTAATTTTCATTAACATCAAACCTGAAAAATAAAGTTCCAATTATTCTGCACACCTGTCAAACTTAATATGCAATGCCTTATTCTTTTAATAAAGCTTTAACATTATAAGAATGGTTGCCCTGGAAACTTGGTCTTACTGCAGTTTCCAAGTCACTGTAGCTCATCTAGATCAAAACGAAACATCAGGGCCGTACCAATCCTACATACCAAATTTCTGCTTAATCACTGCAGAAATAAATGATCAATGAGTAAAACTGGCATTTTCAATATGGTGACCATATTTGAAATCTGATTGGAATGACCACCATTAATGTCACATATGGTTCAATATATTGACTAGGCACTCCAGCTGAAGTGCTAACTTTCATTGACATATTCCTTTAATTCTCCAAAATATGGCTGGAATATTGCCGATGTGACTATAAATTTCAACTCACTTCGATTCTCAAATCTACATAATCCGGAACTATATATGAGAGCTATTTTACTCACTAGTGATTGCAGCACATAGCTGAAAATTAGCAAATGCTTTCTTGCTTGGTCCATTGTTCTTCCAACATTTTTGTCCCAGCCAGTTATATTGAGAAGCAATAGTATGTCCAAGGACATACTTCATGGTTCTTTGGACGGTTTCCTTTACGGTGCTTCCGCCAATAAGCTTTAGGCGATCAACCTGTGAAAATATCAAATGTTTCGGTCACTAAGTAAAGTTGCTGGGTATTAGGAGGGTAACATTTTGAAAAAGGTCATCAAGACAATTATTTGCAAAACTGGACAACAACATTTTAGAATAAGGTGAAAAGTCTAAATAACTTATACAAAATGGGATCAAAATGAACCCATGATAACAGTAACGTGTATTTTGAAATGATTTTAAGCAGGCATGATTAATACTTGTGAAATTGCACTGAGAACAATTTGAGCATGTCAGTCTGCTTACAAACAAAGGTACAACTGGACTATATAATCTAGTAGTATACGCTTGAGAAGTAGTATTGCTAGTAGACCTTAATCTACTACTCCTAAACTTATCACAATTATAAAATGCCAGATGATTTAATGTATCTTAGTACAGAATATTTAAATTCATACACCACATGTGCACCAGTGTCAGCTATTTGCCCTAAAAGAATCTTTAGCCTTACCAAAGACATTCTAAATGCCTTTTCCTTCAGTCTGCCTTCAAGAGCTTCAAGGGCGGCCTCATCAGTTAGTGGAAACTGTACATCTTCCTGGAGGTCCACTGGTGTTCCACTGTTGGACACCTTCAGCAAGATTTCATTGAGGAGTTTCCGTTGAGAAGCAAGCTCTTTTTCCAATCTCTCCACAGCAACTTGCACTGATGAAATGGCTTTAATGATTGCCCTATCCTTAGCTGAAATATTCAAGTTGGAGCCCTTTTATGACAAGCGACAGGACCGCATATTGAAGAATTCTACTAGACACATGAAAGAGTGAGTGAGTTTACTTTTACGCTGCACTCAGCAATAGTCCAGCTATATGGCGGCGGTCTGACATGAAAGGGATAGTAATATTATTGTAGTTGTTGAGGAGAAAGTAATGAAAAACATAATTACCATTCACTCGTGCTGAATCAGGAGATATAAGTCCTGGGATCAGAGACCCTTCATTAGTACCTGGCATTGCTGTAAGCAGAAACTTCAAATTACACATATAATTTAATTCATGATTCCGCCTGTATTAGATTTGTAAAATCTCACAAACATATTTTAAAAGTGAATCAAGATCGCCAAACTTTATCTTGCACATAAAAGCTATGACATGTGATATATGGCTGTGATGTACTTACACTGTCTGATGTGAGTAGCAGTGGTACTTGACTCTGGGATCCTTGGGAAATCTGATGATGGCATATGGACACTGAACAAAGACCGGGCAGAAGTTGAAGGTCTTGGTGGTGATGCATGTGCTGATGATGTACTGATGCTAATGTTGTCCGGGTAGAGGGAAATACCTGTAACCACCTCAGTAACTGCCGAGGTAGAAGGCATTGAAATCTCTGGTGGCTGTGGAGCTGGTGGTAGAACAGCAGGTCGCACTTTTTTTGGTCTGGGTGGTTCATAGTCGTCATCCTCATCCTCACTGGAGGAAACTTGCTTTGGCTTTCGTCTGACGGCCAAACAGAACATAATATTACATGCATACCAAAACAAGATCATACCAAAATAGCACATCCCCAAGCAGATTATTGCTGTAACTCTTGCAATAATAACCTGAGTGGAATAATAGTATGAAATGCTTTATCACCAGTGTGTATCAAACATTACTACAAAATCTCTTTGAAAATTAACAAATATTGTAACCCTATTCGTGATAGACTGCCATTCAGCAAACTGACTGGTGGGGAAAAAGTTCATCTTAGCATAATTGCATAAAGCACTTACTTTCTCGCTCCTTTACCACAGGAGTCCTCCTCTTCTGTTTGAATGTCTGAAGTGTCTTCAGCAACTTTTAATTTTCTTCTACCGTCTTCATAGCTATCTGCAGATATATAACATCATCCTAGAACATTTGCGCTGTAGAAACAGGTAAAATAAAATTTATATTCTATGAATTCAAGTGTTCACAAAACTATGATATTTCAATTCAGTAACATCAGCTTCAGAAAAGACAAGAGAATTTAAGGGAAATCAATATTTACTTACGACAAGCAGCCAACACCCTGATCCTGTATACCGGCCATGTTGTTTCTGCTTCAATTCGCTCCTTTACTGCCTTAACAGCTGCAGTAGAGCGAAGTGGAGGCCAGTAGGTTTTGGTTTGATTCAGCAGCCAATTGGAAGCAACTAACTCTACCTCGTTGCTTTCTTCAAAGACGACGACCACATACATTTTGGCTATAAGAGCAAACTTTCATTTATAAAACAACCTGGATAGATTTCAAAAGACAAAGTCTCAAATCAAAAGATTTTGACATAAATTCTAAATGCAAGCAAAGACACTTACTAAACAGCTACAGTAGCAGTTATTCAAGCCCATCGGCTATGCTGGGACGTAGGAGATGTGTGCAATCATCCCACGTCCCAGCTTTACTGACTTAACTGTGAATGGATGTTCTATGTTTGGTACATCAGCAAAGGTTGTGGAATTTCTTATTTTTGAAAGTTAATGCACATGTTTTGTTTACTTTTATGCACGTGTATGGATCATTGGGATTGCAACAAAGTTCCCCTGGTAAGGCATCAGAACATATTTCCCTTTGACACTCTGTATTCTAGAAACTAGGAGCTGATCATTCACATCAGATACTGTGTGAATATCAAGGCGCCTGGAGTCTATGGGATACTGAAAGAATGCTCCCGACGACAAGAACGTTTGGTAAACAACGTAGATATCCTCGTCACATTTCAGGATATTTCTCACATAGCAAATGTCCTTGCCTATTTTTACACAGTTGTTACCTCGTTTGGATGTGACAACAAACTCTTTCAGTTTGACCTCTCTATACTGGACACACCCTAAGAAATTGTTACCTGCGGGAAGTGGACCATCACAGTGTTTTAATTTTGCCTGAAATGGTGCAAAACTGTCACACTTCTCTGATGAAGACAACAAAGACTTTTCTCTCAACCTGAGCACCACTTGCTCAAGGACAAAATTGGGTTTTCTAACCAACTTTTCAGGTATTGGAGAAAATTTTCAAATGGAAATGCAGAAAATGCATCAAGTGGGCCATGACGTCTTACATCCTCAGCGAGATGCACTAAGCCATGGACGTTGTAAACTACCTGATCTGTACCATAAAGCTGACAGAAATGGTGAACAAAAGAGACAAGAAGTTCTTGTGCGTAATCTGCGTACACATTGCAAAATATAGGATTCACAAGAATACCGATTGCAGTTGACAGAAGCATGAAGTTTTTGTACATCTCATTTTGTATCTTGCCCCTCAATACTAAAGGTCCGGTATAAAGCAAGAAAAGCCGAAACTCGGTTGCTTTCCATCTATCAACTTCAGAAAGCGCCCTTGGTTTTCGTGCAAACTCATGTGGCATGTAACAAGTAAGGGACATCAAGGCCTCTGATATTAAGGTTTTCGTTTGGGAGCCTAGACGACAGTGAAGGGGTCCTTTTCTCCAAATCCAAAGCAAGCGTTTCATGACACCAAGACATACCATATGCATGTAGTCAAGTGTGAATTGCGTCACCATGCCAATAGACAACTGCCTCATAGGATTTGGGCCTGTATGATGATCTTCATCTACCATCTCATGAAAGGCTACATCTGTTCTTAAGGGTGCATCAGTTTCTAAGAACACCATTTTCCCTTGATAGGTACCACTCTGTGTACACTTTTCACATCCTGAATAACCAGAATGAGATTTAACCCTTTTAATGAAAGCTCGAGCCGGTGCATCACAAACAAATGATGCTATGTTCACTTTATATATCTTTCCATTGTACACCAAACCATCAGATTGCAACCCCACCATTTCACTGACAAAGTCACTCAGAAATGTTTCAGGGTTAGATGGCTTATGATTTCCTGAAAACAAGCCAATGATGAATGGATCCGATTGACCCTTGTCTTGAATCAGGCCTAAAATTGGCCAAAACTGATCATTTGTACTCTTAAACAAGGGAAGACCATCAACATTTATTTGTATTAGAATGGTATCTAACCTTTGTAAGTGAGTATCCGATGACAACTTCAAAAGAATGTTGGATTTCACACCAAAATGATAGTAGGCCCCACCTGCAATATTCTTAATACCATCTACCTTTCCTGTTTGTAACAAGGTTCTGGGGTCTTTTGGAAGCAATGGGTGAAATTGCTTAAGCGCGGACAGTAAATGTCCGAGAGCAGTATGAGAAATGTTGTATTTCACTGCCCAGTGTGAAAGAATTTCAAACAACTGCCCATCAACATCATCATCACAATCAAGCTCATCTTCACAACCGCCTTCACAATCAGTATCATCATCACTACCATTTACATGTTGATCATTTCCAGACTGGTAGGTGAAAGAAAATCCAGCACCATCTGTGTTTGTAACACTACTACTACAATTTAAATCTGTGTAGTTAGTTGAACAGTCATGCTCATGTTCATGTTCATCATAGTCTGTACATGTACCAGGTGGAGAATATGTTCTTTGTTGTATATAAGGTGAAATATGTTCCCTTGTGTCTGTTTCTGTCTGTAAAACCCCTTGTTGAATAATCTGTATGTTTTCTCTTAGCTTAGATTCTATTTTCCTTCGTTTTGTCCAGTACGACATTACTGTAGTTAGATTGTGGTAATGGAACTGCACGCAGATTTTGAATGTGGAAGGAAAAACAGTTTTGTTTGGAGCAAAACTGAATGGACCCAAAGTGGTAATAGACCTTTTCTAGTACACCTTTATATTAGGCTTAAAGTTACATATGATTTATATGTTGTTTTCAAAGAATACCTACATATTTGGCCAAATGTTTTCCTGACACCTCAACCCCTCACCTCCAGCAGACGACAAAATGGCGGGCACATTTTTAACCCACAATGCAATTCAATTTACCCACAATGCACCATTTACGTTCTGGCCCTGTAGTGGCCCTGTAATGGCCCCGTACCGTATTTCATTACTGTGCCAGTACCGGACCAATAACTTTGTCCTATACTGTATGCAGCATACTGGCCCAGTAACGTAAGACAATGCCTTTAAACAATGTGATGTTGCGACTGGGCCAGTATTAAAACGATACAGTTAAGACAGTACTGTAAAATACATAATGGGCCATTTAGGTTAATACTTAATGCCGTTACTGAAGTTACAAGTGACGAAGGGAGCCGTTATTGGCCCAGTTATGTCATGTTTGCTGATTCTGTGCCGAACTGCTGTCAAACGCCCGCCATATTTTACCCACAAACAAACTCCGTTGCCCATAGTTACCGTGTGGTGAAAAGCACAGAAAATGGTATTACGATGCACGTGGGGGACATGCAATGCTGACGAACGTTACCCTGAAAGACTGGAAGGAGATTTTTCGTCCGATTTCCAACTGTCAAACGGAATGAAGAAAAATGCAAGCGCTGGATCAAAGCTTGCGGCCGTCCTCATGAGCAGCTAAATTTATCCAGAATAAATCAACACAAAGCTGTATGTTCTAAGGTAAAAATTATTGAACTTAAAAGATGTTTATAAAAAAGGCATACTTAGTTTTGTATAGAATGTTCGCTGTTATAACGTGAGATCGGAGCAATAATATATATCTCAAGTTTCTTGTTTGGCAAAGATACAGTTCCTCGTTTCATTTGAATCGGCGTATTTTTTAACGTGATTAGATATATAGCTGTAAAATGGGCACGCATTTCTGTTAGTCGTATCTAATAGTATTTATTTTATTCCAGCATTTTGTTGGAGGAAAAGGACCGAGCAGAGAATATCCTGGCCCAGTGGCTGCTGACGGAGCCTGCCCCCAAGCCTGTCAGGAAAGGGTGTAGGTGAATTCGTAACCAAAACCGGTTCGTAGACGTCAAAATCCGGTGGATTCGTAGACGGATTGAGCGGTGAATTCGTAGACGTTATTAAAATGGGGAATAGTTCACCCTCAATGATGAAGAAATCGACGAAAGGTGTTTGCATTTTGTGAAATAAATAAAATATATCAGGTAAGTATGATCGGCGGTGAACATATCCATAAATAATAAAAAAAAACAAATATGCTTCACAGTGGTCCATGTCACAAATTCAGACAAATCTAAGACCGCTAATATATTAAATTCAGTTGTGTAAAATTAAAAAGAAATGTATTAGGTAAGTATCGTCATTCAACGTTTAACTACGCAGACCAGCAGAGAAGTAGCAGAAAACACTTCTTAGGAAAACACTTACATCTCCCACACAGAGTACTTCGCAATCAACGCAGCTGTTGAAAAATGGTCACGGACTTTGAGGCGGCGACCTGGAGAGGCTTTAACAGAGTTTTTCCGGCCGTCCAGATCAAGGGCTGCACCTTCCATATGAATCAGGCGATTTATAGGAAAGTGCAGAACTTGGGTCTGGCTACGGCTTACGACGAGGACGTGGGAACACACAGGTGAATATTTTTTTGCTTCTTTTTACTATCTTTCAGATGATCTTGTTTAAAAAATTATCTGCATTTCTCATTTTTATAATTTGTTTTTTAGATTCATCAAAAAGCTTATGGGCTTGCAGTTCCTCGACTCAGCCCATATCGAGCCAGCATTTATGAAGGTCAAACAACAAGCAGTGACACAGAATCTGATCGCCCTCTGTGAATATTTTGAGTCGACATGGATCCGAAGCTCTGTGTGGACCATTACAAATTGGAGCGTGTTTGGGACGGCCATCCGGACGAACAATGACCTGGAAAGCTGGCACAGGCGCTTAAATCAACTGTCCGGGCGACGTTGCCTACCTTTTGACAGGCTGCTTCCCCTCCTCTTCCGAGAGGCTGACCTGCTTCCCCTGCAGATTCGCCTTGTGACAGACGGTCAGCTGGACAGAAGGCAGCATGCTGGCCAGCGTGCCAAGGCGGATAGATTTTTTAGATTATGGGACGATTTCCAGGCAACAACTATTACCGTGTCCCAGCTGCTGAGGGAGGTGTCAAAACTAAATGGGCCAATGGTCACTGAGTGACTGTGTTACTACTGTGATACGTGCTGTTTTGAACATTGTTGTTAAATATATTACATTATCACTCTTCCATAACAATGTTGTCTGTCTTTTTACATTTTACGACGCTTCATCTTTATTACACATACAGTCACATAGTAACAATATTTTCGTATCACTGAAAATAAAAAATACAACACAAACCCGATATATAAAAATACATTTAAAACAAGTGTAGACAAGAGACGGGAGAAAATATTCACTTTTCATTCAGCTGTCCTTAGTTTCGTATCACTGAAAACAAAGCATACGGGAAAATATTCATTCACAATTTCCTTGAGCTGCCCTTGAGGCTGCCCTTAGTTTCGTATCACTGAAAAAAGCATAACAACTTCGTTATAAACATTCTCAGTAACATCTAAGTACAATTCAAACTATATATTCCATTATGAAACGACCAAGCCAGTACACTCCCTGCATATCTGATAAAAACAGACGTCATCTCTTGTGGGAGAGAATGTTGACATGTGTGTATTTAAAATTTATACGAATCAAACAAAATGCATTCTTCAAATCAAATAATGGAAAATACATATATACCGTAGGCCTACCTCATGACATAATTGTGGGATAATTAGTTGTTTATATTTCTGGTAATTATGTCATCATTTTTGTATGTGTCTGTAGATTTATGTCTATTTTCATTATGTAGTGTAGTCTGTTCTCAGAGAGAATATTGACTTGTATATGTTTCACAAATTACACACATCAAAGTAGATTCATTCCTGTCTTTTTAATGATGGAACAGTACATGTAAATAATGTTCATAATGACAGAATAAATCGCATAAATCATCATAGTCATGTCAAACATTATACACTCAGGGGCAAAAGAAACGATACCATCTTATTGAGGCTAATTAATGAAAGATGACAAAAGATAAACAGAAAATCAATGTTGTTATTTGAAGACAAATAAGTGAGGAGCATGAAAAATCAAATTTATTCATCAAGGCCACTCATTGTTTGAGATAATTGAAAAAAAAACACGATACTATTCATATGTCCTGTATTCGATCACTCCAGTATGATGAGATAAGTCAATGTCAGTGACACAGGGACACTCCTGTGAGTCAATATCGAGTGTGGTCACCACAGGCATCGATGCAGGCTCTAACACGACGTCGAACACTTGAGGTCAGACATCTGATCACGTGAGGAGGTATCCTGTTCCACTCCTCCCTCAAAGCCTGGATGAGGGTTTGGCTGTTCACTGGGGCGACCTGTCTGGCACGAATCTGTCTCATAAGATGGTCCCACAAATGCTCAATGAGTGAAAGGTCCGGAGAGCGTGATGGCCATGGCAGGACAACAACGTTGTTGGCGTTGAGAAAGCCTTGAACACGTTGACCTGTGTGACATGGAGCGTTGTCCTGTTGAAATACGGTTCTTGGATTCTGTTGTAGGAAGGGTAGAACAACTGGCCGAAGGCCTTGGTTGATATAACGCTGCCCATTCAAATTCCCATCGATAACAACCAGATCCGTCTTTCTGTCACCACATATCCCTCCCACACCATATCGCCATCACCGCCAAACGGCTCAACCTCCTGCACGCAGCAACGGGACGTCCGCTCTCCTCTGCGTCGATGCGCTCGTGTGTCCTACCGTCAGGTCTGTTGAGGAGGTATCTGCTATCATCAGTAAATAAGACTCTGTCCCATTGTCTGCGCTGCCAACCTTGAACGATATGTGCCCATCTCACGTCGACGTCGATGGAGGCGCCTCAGTGCTACACCACGGTAGGGTCTGTAGGCTCGGATACCATGCTGACGAAGTCTCCTGGACACCGTCCTTCAGCTGATACGATGACACAGCGCAGTCGATGCTGATGACGTCACAGTGAGGAATCGGTTGCGCAAATGCAGGAGTTACGCAAGTTACGCCAGTCTTCAGCTGGGGTCGTGACCCGAGGTCTGCCACCCTCGGCCTGTCCTGTGTCCTGCCTGTCTGTCTGTAACGGGTCATCAGCCTGGTTATTGTAAGTCGGCTACAACCGAAGATCCTGGCGACGTGATTGTGGGTAGTGCCAAGCTGGATCATGCCGATTGCCCTTTCTCTCTTCTTTCGATAATCTCGGCATGGTCGCAAATGTAAGCGTAAAATGTAGATGTCCATAAACATTTTCACGTGCTTTTATACCGAATATTTGTCACGTGTGTCATGTGTGCATGTGCACGAAACTTTCGTGAATAAGTTCACCTTTCTGGATTCTTGCCTTGCACGTGCATCGCTGTTTCATTGAGTCAGTTTTGTTGAGTTCGGCTGAATGTTTCTGAACATAAATACTCAAAATATCAAAGTCCAAACACAAATTATAATTTCAAAAAGTTTGGTATCGTTTCTTTGCCCCTACAATGAGTGAAGCCCATTTCTGGTGTCCCCGCCGTGATATTGCTGGACTATTGCTAAAAGCGGCGTAAAACCAAACTCAGTCAGTCAGTCAGTCTTTTGCCCCTGAGTGTACATTTCCTTTTTCAGATTGAACACAGGCAAGCCATCCATCCAGTCAACTGCTCCAGTTCAGATGTTGTCAGATACTGACAAAGCACAAAACAAGTCCACCGACTTCATGATCAACACATCTGCACAGACTGATGAAAGATGTATGTATAGATGGAGATTCAGTTTTCATTTATTCCCTCTGGTTGCTTTCTTTAGGTAGGATACAGCATGATCTCTGTAAAACTCGGCTAGTTTCTTTAACATTGACTGCATGAAAACAATATCTGGCGTTATTCTCTCCACATGCATGTCCAGTTGAGTGAACACAATAAATTCACAAAACCTGCACCCAGTAACCATCAACTGACCTTGTACTTGTGCGTAGTGATGGTGAGATCTTTCAAAGAAATTACACCATTTTCCTTTTAAGGAAAAGTCTAACGATTCACAAGCAATGTCAATGGTCATGTTGCGCTGGAGTAGGACATTTGATCTCAACTATCCCACTTTCACCATTGTCACAAATCTTGCCATCAGGCGTTGCTCCCAAAAATGAAAACTCATTGTTCACAACAAACCCGCCATCATGAAAATGTCTGTCTGGATATTTCTGATGGTACCTTGCCCTTTGCGTCTTTTTTCGTTATGTTTCTTCCCATATTCCAGTGATGGTGCTTTTAACATTTCTTTTAGAGAAAATAGAGTTCAGGAAGCAATGATTTGGTATTTTTCTTCTGAGCAAAACCTTTCCAAAACTTGATGCAGTTACACGTTTCCTATGTTCATCAAAACCAGAGTTCATTTGACTGACTCTGTGTTTTCATTTCAAGAGATTTGGGATCCCTACAGATTGTATCTTCATCATGTAGATGAGCAAATTCCTGGGTAAGCTTCACTGGTGGTGGCAAGATAACACTGGTGTTCCCACATATGTCTGTAGTTGGTGTTGCATTCTTGATATGTTTGATCTGAAATAATAAATAAATAATTTCAAATATTTTGTCATTTCAGGGATATCACCAATGGACATACTAGCTCTGGCAGCAGAAAAACATGATTTGGAGCAACAATTACAAGACAAGTCAAGAGAAATAAGAGAGCTGAACATCAAAGTAGCATCACAAGAGAAGACAATTGAGGAATTACAGAGAGAGCTTCAACAATCAGCATTATTTTCTATAGATGTTGTGATCACCAGGGGTAAAAAAATCAAAAACTTATTCAAACACTATACAGGTGTTACATATGTGAGATTTCTCACACTACTATCATTTCTGCTACCCCAAGGAGAGGACATTGATTATTCATCAGGGAGGAAAGACATCAAGAGACTTAAACCTCAGGATGCATTATTGCTTACTCTCTGTCGGTTAAGGTGTGGGTTGGACTTAAGAATATTGCAGTTCGATTTGGACTAAGTCCTCAGTCAGCAGACATTATTTTCAACACATGGCTTGATGTTTTATATTTCGAGCTGGGACAGATTCCAATATGGCCACACAGGGATGATAAAATAAAACATATGCCTAAAACATATCGCAGAGACTATCCAACAACATTGATTATCATTGATGGGACAGAAGTCAAAACACAGACCCCCATGTGCTGTAAGTTTGCAAAGTCAAGTCTACAGTGATTACAAGTCCTCTTCTACTCTTAAGGGTTTGATTGGATGTGATCCAAATGGAAGCTTAATGTTTGTTTCAGAACTATTTACTGGTTCAATATCTGATAAAGCAATCACTGAACAGTCTGGGTTTTATGATGTCATTAAGTCAATGAAAGAAATTGACACACATTAATGACGGTGATGGCATCATGGTTGACAAAGGTTTTTCTATCAAAAAAAGTTGAAAACTAGGTTTGAAACTGAATATACCTCCAAAAGGAAAGACTGGAAAACAATTCAACATGGGTGAAAATTCATGAACAGATAAAGTGGCAAAGCACAGAGTTCATATTGAGAGACTTATTAACAAGGTGAAACAGTATAAATTATTGTCAAATTGTGTTCCAACATCTCTATTCTCCAGGATAAACAAGATTTGGTCTGTTTGTTGCCACCTGACATTATTTCAGGATGTTTTGGTGAAGTAATCACTACTGTAATTGTGCATGAAATTAATGTTGTTGAATGGAGTCAAGCTACTACTGTATACAGCAACTCTTAATAAAACAAAATTTCAACCTCTTCTGAAATGTTTTTAAATTAGTTGCACCTCTTAGATATAGATATATACCTGGTAAGATAGTGCTTGATCCAATTGGCACATCTCCCATAGGAGTTTTCACCAAAGGGAAATCATTTTGTGCTGTTCTATGCAGGAGTGGTGTGCCCTGTAGAGTTTGAAGACTTGCAACATGTCAACCCTTGGTAGCCGGAAACACACAGATATACATACATTCAGTGGCTATATAAAAAATCATCTTATAGTTGTGTTTGTAATATGAATTACACTTATCATTAAAAAATGTAGATTTTCTATCATGAATAGATATTAATTTTTTTTATATTCTGTATTTAGGTTTCATATGGGCAATTATCATTCTTAACTTGTGATCAAGTAAAAATGTGCAAGTGTTTCATAGATATCTTGATGACAATATTAGTTGAATTATCAATTTCAGCAAAATGTCTGATGAAATAAGAATAAAACTATACTTGTAATTCATGTCGGCGTGGTATTGTATCGGCTTCCGCTTGCGTTGCTCAGTTGGTCTAGCAACCACAACCTGGCTGA